TCCTTTTGGGGGGGTGTCACGGTTTTGTTCTCTTTGTCTCCAGCAGGTGGCGTCGGAGGGCTTCTCCTCCAGCGCTGCACCTGTCATTTTGTCGTCAGACTTTTTATTTATGAGGACTGCCACGCCAACCACTCGCTGTTGAGTCTGTGAGTTATTTATTTTTTTGAGTGTGCCCTGTAAGTGTTTTTGTTCATATATTTTGTTCAGTACACTTTGCCATCCTGCTTTTTTGGTCCTCCACCATCTCACCTCATGACAAACATCGGTTGAACACGATTTGTACATCATGGTACTCTTTATTTTAATATTTTTTTTTAAGTTCAACACAACATCCCAACATCTTTGGAATAGGGTTTATACATCTCAGACCAAAAAAAAAAATGTAAGAACTTGTTGACCGATGTTATTCACCAAAACCATCTTTGGTTGGTTTGTGGTGATGGTTTTACAGCTTTCACCACATCGACCCACTGCGCCTGCAGCCTTAATTCAATCAAGGCATAGGTGTTACTTTAGAAAAACCTCAACATACACCACCAAGCAGCAACACAAAAAGTATGAATACTGAAATAATTATTGTCTTGTCCCAATAAATATTTTCATAATTTGCTTCGTTGAACACAAGGGACAGATTAGTTGTACCTTCTACCGTCTTCTTGAAGAGCTTTTAATCCACAGGTTTAATACTCAGACCCAGCGGCCACATCCGGTCGCCCAACATCATGCTAAAATCTATCAAAATTTCAAAGTGTCATATGTAGCAAATGAAAATTTTCTCATATTGCAGCATTTTTTTTTGTTACTAAACCCCTTCTACAGTAACTTGAACAACTATTATCCTTTTAATTTTAAGATATTATCCATCCAGTTGTTGTGAATAATGGCAATTAAACCTTTATATGGGTTCATTGTTATTACGGTCTTTGAGGGGAAACTGTAGCCACAATGTGTTTTCTTTCCACCTGTCACTACACTTCGTTAACGTCAGTATATAAAGGTGCATATGGAGAAAAAAAAAATTAAATCTATCCATCCATCCATTTTTAACACTGCTTTTCTTGAAAGGGGTCGTGGAGAGTTGCTGAAGCCTATCCCGGCTGACTTATAATGGAAGGCGGACTACACCTTGAATTGGTCGCCAGTCAGTCACAGGGCACATATCAAGCCAAACAACCCTTCACACCCACATCCACACCATCCCTGAGTGGACACCGATACCACGCTGCCCACACACAAGTCAGTTGAATGTACCACTACACCATCAGCAAGTTAATTTTAACACTTAACGATGTGAAATGAGATCATTTCCCACAGCACTTTGGTCGAAATCTGTCACTATAAACTAACAACAGTGGTTGGGAATCAGTGGTTTCGACAATCCACAGAAGTGGTACTATGGTCCTGTATTTCAGTTCAACCAAAATTGTCTTCCCTTACCTAGATCCGGAGCGCCTTGCCGTGTCTTAAGTCAATATGTGTTGTGTGTGTGTGTGTGTGTGTGTGTGTGTGTGCGCGCGCGTGCAGAGTGTGTTTGTGTTTATATGTGATGAAGGGAGTGTTTTTTTTTTTTGTCCAGTACATTTCCATTCATCCATTATCCGATGGTTTATTTTTTCTGTATTGCCTTTTTAATGAATGAAAACTGCTAAACTGTGTAAATAAAATTAGAAATTTGATGTGACACTTAAGCTTAGTGAACGGCGGAAGTATTTTTTGACAGAAATTTGCTTCATGTACCTCCCATACAGTGCTGTGAAATAGTATTTACCCCCTTCCTGATTTCTGTGTTCTTTGCATATTTGTCATGTACAAAAGTTTCGATTCATCAAACCAATTTTAATATCACACAGAGACAACCAAATGAAATACAAAATGCAGTTTGTAAATGCCAATTTTATTTATTAAGGCACCAAAAAAAAAAAAAACTATCTGTCTCTATGTGAAAAAAGTACCCGCCCCCCAACCCCCCTTGTTAACTCACAAAGTAACTGTGACAGTCAAAGACAAGTTGAACCACTGGGAGGTAGGAGACAATGATTTTGTTGTTACTGCTGCCAAGGTGCTTGTTTTCATCCTTGCTGTCTCGCTGTTTGTTACCTAAAAGGATATTTAACACACCTCGGTGAAACTTTGCGCAAAGTGCAACCGTTTGCACTTTTGTGTGACTTGAGGGGCCAGCTCTATTGAACTAGACCTGCAGTTTTGCGTGTGTGCGTGTGTGGATGACACGTGCTGTGCAGTTTTAGACTGCGTGTTTTGAATGTGGCTTACCCACAAGTAGTTGGCTGGCTGTGAATGTTGCCCCCTTGCATCCCAAAGCAATAGAAGTATGTTGTGCACATGCGACCACATGCAATTGACTTGTGCATCTGCAAAGTCAGAGTGAAACAGCATTCCAAGTGTTTGTGCGTGTAAGGGCCCATCATCTCATTCGGCAGTTTAGGTGTCGTATCTCAGCTCCTCCTGTGTCGAGTTTGCATGTTCTATCCATGTCCTCTCACATTCCTGTGCAGGGGCGCCTTAACCAACTCATTGGCCCTGAGGCTAACTAACCATCAAAAAGAGGCTCCCTTACCCCAAACCTAACTGAGATGTTCTACACATTTTTCAACACTGACAAAAGGATCAGCACACATATTGATGCTTTTCATCAATTTTAATAAATATAACTAACATCCAACAAATCTAAAAAGTCATCCGAAGTCCACCAAAAGCTATTAGGTTAGTTTGCATGTCGCAATTCCAGTGTGCGCATTTTGCTTTTGGGGTTTCGTCATGTGCAAACTGGCAAATAGTTTTGTGAATTGCGGTGTAAACCACACACATACACACAAAAGAGTCAGTGTGCAAAACTGCCGTCAGGTCAGCCGACACTTGAAAATATGATGTCATGCCAGGCAGATTTTCAAATTTGTCAGTTGAGTGCAGTCAGGGCCTTCAAGGCCTTCTCTCCTGGCCCGAAATCGAATCCTGCACCTCTGCACTGTGAGGCTTACATGCAAACCAATCGACCACCATGCCACCTGCAAGTATGATATATTTTATTTATTTATACAACCACTGCAGGTGTCACAATATTGTACATAAAACACAAGGCAATAATAATCATACAATCATAAATTGCTAAATAAAATTAATTAAAATACACAAGAGCTCCCCAATGCCATATAGAATACAGAAGATTTAATTCTCTCCAGTTGCACATTGAAATTACTATTTCTAATAATACAAAGACAATAAAATGTTGCTAATGATCTCTCTGTCTGTCTGTCTATCTGCCTGCCAGTCAATGTTTGTTCATTTATTATCCCTCCCCCCCGTTTCCCCAGGCGGAACTTCCGCAAGTTGCCGCTGTTATTGACGTTAAATTTTCTGGTGAGATGAAATAGGTTCAACGATATGATGAATAAAACTTTAGAACGTTCTATTTGTTTCGAGGAGTGTGTCAAAACGTGGGCGTTGGAGATGGGTACTTAATACATTTAACTCGTTTGGGGGTCACGCGACGGACATATATACATATATAAACACATACGTCACCGTCGCGCAAGGCTCGCTGGGAAACATAGTTTTCTTCGAAATGGAAATTTACAACGTATCGGACCAGAAGAGCTAGTGGAAATTTACTCGCCTTCCCTCCCCCTGTAATATGCAGAGCCTTGTCTGCCGTTGCAGGATGTTTTGATGAAAGTCAACGGTTCTCCTCTCCTTGTTATCTCCCACTGACACTACAGCATTAAAAAAAAAAGATTAGATGACTATGTCATGAAGACAGTCACATGCCTCTTTATCACATGCACTATGATTGACTGTATGACCTCTTCAAAAGTTACAATGTAAATAGTGGAATATTCCACTGAAGGCGGAGGACTGTAACAACCATATACAACGATGACTCAGTAACCGTGGCATTGGACAGCTTGGGACAATATGAATGGCATGTTTCATCCTAGGGCATTGATGTCCTTTTGTTTCCATGCTAAAAGATGCTTTGCAAAGGCCTATTTATTGCAATAATTCATGTTTTGTTTTGATAAATCCATCAATAACTTAACTTTCCAGGGTTTTCTTAGAAGAATTAAAATGGAAACAAAACAATAAAATGAAAATTCCTATTTTATGTTGTTTTTTTTTTTTTTCTGAAGACCATGGGTGGGAAATCTGTGGCCCCAGCACCATACGTGGGATCAACCCACCATGTAATTTGAAAAATAAGAACATGTAACCCATCCATCTATTTTCTATCAGGCTTATCCTCATTTAGGTTGCAGGTAAATCAGAGTCTATTGCTTTTTTGGCAAGAGGTGGGCTACACCACGGAATGGTTGTCATATATAGACCAACAATGTGGGAAGAAAGATGTAACATCCACACAAAGGTAGAACATGCAAGCTCCACACAGGAAGGCAGCGCTTTGAACTCCCGATGGCTTTTATTATCAAGTGTGCTGCAGAAAGTTACCCCGATTCACTAAATTTGCCAATAAAGGTTGGGAATCACTGCACTAGGCCATTGTGCTGCCGCCATGTAAGCCTGTGCTCATCATGTATAACAATAAACTTATTAATAAATCTAGAATGTTCCCCAGCCTTGATCTGAGGGTATGTGCCACCCCCTAATCCGATTACAAATTCTCTCACCAGTCAGTTGAATGGGGAGTTGTGGCACTTTCTGTGATTTAATCAACGTGAAATTATTCACCAAAAATTCCGAATAAATAAAGCTGGTGAAATATTTACTTCTCCCCCTTTAATTCTTTTTTTGTGTATGACTTCACCTCTGTTAAAATAAAGAGAAATGCATTCAGGGGCGTGTCTTGAGGCGGAAGAAAATGCATTTGCCGATTTGCAGAAAAAGAGTGTTGAGATAATTCTCTTCTGGTATTATTATTATTATTATCATGATTATAATTATTATTACTTATTGCGTGTGTGTTGTTTCTCCAGCTTGACGCGTCACGGGTGAGCCACACGTGTGGGGCGTGGCGTTAGAAATACGTCCACTCGCTAAAAGGAGGAGAGGCGGTGAGGAGCTCTGACTTGTTCAACTCAAGTCCGTCATGCAGAAAGCAGCACACCCACAAAGACACAGAGGGACAACTTCCAACGAGGCTAAGCGACGAGACAATCTGGGCTTCTCCTCCTCCTCTTCGTCTTGCTGTTGACTTGCCCATCCTCACCTCCTCTCGTGGGGGGGGGGGGGTGTTGCCATCGCATCTCGCATCCAGACGCTAGCTTGAAAGGTACATGTTGTTATACTCTTCAGTTATCACCCTGACCACCACTTTTGCTCATACTTGTGTATACGTATCTATTTATGCACATATATGTACGACGTATTCTTTTTTCGCTTGTTTGTTTAGAGAAGCGCGTTGAGAAATGTGTATTCGCTCGGATTGTAAAGCAGTTGATTCATGTTTCGAGGTGCCTTCACGTGTCTTGCTAAACATCCAAAATTCGGGATTGTCTTTATTTTACGTACCAGAAATGAATATTTATTAATTTAAAATGCGTATTGGCGAACGTTTTATGTAGCGATACGGAGGCTCGTCAGCTACGCTGCAGAAAAAGCCACGCGAGTGATTCTTCTAGAAATTTCTCACCTTCTACTACGGAGGTTTCCAACCTCAGGAGCCCGGAACCAAAATGGGTCACAAGTCACTTTTTATTGGGTCAGACAAATAAATTTCACCCACTCAAAAAAAGAAGCCTGTTTAGTGTTTCACAATACTCTGTTTCATTTTCACCTTTATAAAGTTCTGTCTTCAATTTTAACTCCTGGCTTCTTGTAACATCAGTGTGTGTAGACACAAGTGACTAATGTAGAAATGATACAATATGGGTTCCCAACCTTAGGGGCCAACAGCCATAAAAGGCTATGGGGTATTTTTTTTTTAATTGGGTTGCATAATTCACCCTAAAAAAAGCCTTCTGTCACTCCTGTGTTCTCATAGGCCGCTTATTGATGTGGTTAGCACATCAGCCTTATGTCTCTGAGGTTCTGGTTTCAAATCTTGCCTCTGGCAACCAAATCTTATATAATAAATGAAAAAGAATTTGATGACTTGTGGTAAAAAATATGTCCTTAATGTATAGACGAGTGGCAGTTGTGTGTGTATGTAAAAAAGGTGGTGAGTAACTTTTTATTGGGGTAATGATGATGTGTCACCCCCCCAAAATTAATAATTGCTCTTTTTAATTAATTTGTTGCTCTAACATGCATTCCCAAAACATGCATTTTTGGTTTATTAAAGACTCTAAATTGACCATGGGCCCCGTGGAAAAGAGCTATAGGAAATGCAAAGATATGGATGTATTGTACAGCATGCACAAACAGCCACAACATAGTAGTACTTCCAACCAACAACCACAAAAGAAAACATTGTTAAATACCACCCTGACAACATCAATCAAAATGGAACATTATTACTCGAAGAAGATTTGGTCCAGCTCTTGTATTGGATCTTTTTCTTTTGTTGGCTGGTCAGTGTACAATGTGTGAATGTTATGGTAATGCATGAATCCGTTTTAGAGACCCTGATTCCTACTTTGAGTTGAAAAAGTAAGTGAAATCCTCTTACAGTCTTCTAATAAGTGACCATTATTCGCATGACTAAATCAGTCGGTCACTTCGCACAGTGAATTAAAGGAACATTTTTCCATCCAAGTTGCTGTGCAACCTTGCGAGGCATTCTGCATGCGTCAGCTTTGTTGTGCAGGTAGCCAGTGAGGTTGGGGGGGGGGGGCAGTGGATGTGGGAAGAGTTCAGTCGGCATTAGAGAATAAAGTGTGTGCATATGCATTGTTGTACCAGTAAATCTAATCCTCAGGGCTTAGTTGATTGACTTCTGTCAGCTTTGTGCACACTGGGTCTCGTGTCTTGTTGCAACACAAAAACAAAAATACCTGGCCCGTCTCCAGTTTCATCGCTCCTGCGAGGAGTTACTTGTCGGACACACTAGACTTTGTTCATTCTGTTACTAAAAGATAAGGGCGATACGAATTGATTTGACATCTGAATGTAAATCAGTCAGTTTTTTTGTTTGGAGGTTAGTGCCAGCGATAATTCGATTGTAAACTTTACAAGATGGGCTGTTTTTAGAGGCATAGCTGACTAAACATACGTTTTGTCTCAAAACCCGTGTATTTGGACATCATTTCCAAGAGGAACAGTGTATTTTTGCTTTAAACTTTCAGGAATACAAAAACATTCAACTCTTCGAAGGAATCCAGAAAAATACCTCAGTGCATGAGATTACAAATAAAATCCTACGAAATTCCTATACAGGCTTCTATAACTCGTACAAACAAAAACTAATCCAAAATTAGTTCTTTCAAAGGAGTCAACAATTCAAGAGCATACTTTGTTCGTTCTAAATCATATTCAATTTCAGTGACCATGGATTTTTAGTGTTCTAAATGTAAATATTCAGCAGCTCCCATGGGGGCCTTAGCTCGACTTGGAAAATTCAAGTGCATGCTTTTTATTTAGTTTGTGCTTTATATATTTATTTCTTGTTTGTACATAATCGCACTGACATTTTATGTGTCAGTGCTCTAAAATGGAGGTTCTCCAAACTTTTTTTTTTTTACACTCAGCACCACCAAAGAAAAAAATACATGGCTCTCCAACTACCACCATCACGACCACCGTAGATTAATAGCAGCTTCCTAGGCCTAAGTGTTCATTGAAAACGAGACAGATGAGAAGTTTTATTCCTAAAAAGAAAATGTATGAAAGTTTGTCAACATTTTCCCCCAGTTCCTATCCCCCGTGATTAGCGGGGATCGACTGTAAGGAACCTGAATAAAATTTACCCGGTTTCATCGTCTGTCCGTGTCAGTAAGGTCGTTGTCAGGCGGGGCAATTGGCAGAAGAACTCATAAAAAAAATAAATAAATAAAATAAAATAAAAAAAAAAAATTGTTTTTTACTATTTCAAATTTAAACAAATTCCTACCACATTAGTTTTTTGATTTTGTCCCAACGTGAACCAAAATGTCACAATTTGGAACCGGGTTTGATTTCAGGCCAGTCTACGACGAGGCAACGAGTCTTCCGTTGCCTCGTTTTAGAGTCTTTGTTACCTCGGTTTTATCACTGATTACTGATCCGTGTTCTCTGTTACCACAGTTAATATCATCTGTCCGTGTCCTCTGTTGCCACGGTTAAACTACACACCGATCCGTGTCCTCGAAATGTCACCACAGTTAATAATCGGGCCATGTCCTCTGTTACCACGGTTAAACGGTCGGCGTCCTATGTTACTGTGCTTCAACAGTAAGTGTCCTCTATTACCACGTTTAAACAATTCGTGTCCTATATTACCACGCTTAAATCTCAGTTTATTTAACACGGTTAAAATTAATCAAATTTGGAGATACTCTAGACTACTGGTGTCAAAGTCGAGGCCCGGGGGCCAGATTTGGCCCGCCACACCATTTTATGTGGCCTGCAAAAGCAAATCAAACATGGCAACTTCCATGAGGATTGCTAAAATATGTACCACAATTTTTAATTCTCACATGTAATAAATAAGAGAGATAATGTATACATTATCTTGTTGCCAAACACCCCATTACAGTAACTTAAACAATAGTTCAAGAAACCGTTATTCTTGACTTCTTCATATGATTTCAGTCGGAATGGCCCTCCAACAGTAATGGTAACTAAAATGTGGCCCGCGACGAAAATGGTTTTGACACCCCTGCTCTAGACGGTGACACCATCGTACCGACCATCTCCCAAATCAAAAAAATATTCAATACGCAGAATTTATGATCATCACATCGGGGGCACCATTTTAAAGCAAGCTGAATAAAATGTACCCATTTAGAGTTACTGGTTCCTTAGCGTGTTGGGTTTTTTTTTTTTGTGTGTGCAAAGATTACTCAATCAGCGACAAAATAACTTCACCAAGTGTATTTCCCCAACAGAGGATTCTAATGCCTACAGCAGAGTCTGAGTGGAGCGTTTGCAGAATGACCCCAAACTATCTGACTTGAAGCTCTTTTTATGCAGTTGTGAGTTATGTGGTGGGGTGTTGACATCATCTGGTTGGTCAAGAGTCCATTGAGATCAGAATTTGCTGGGCAAATGATGGGCTCATTCGAGCCTCAGGTTTCGGGGCGTCTGTGGTCAAGGTGTCTGTTTTCGCGCCACAATGGTGTCTGCTATGCTGTTGGTTGACGCCGTCCTAGACGAGCTTCAGACGATCCTGCGGTCGTTGATTCACTTCATTTACTGGAACGTCTGCAACAGTTGTTACCTAACCCCCCCCCCCCCCCCCCCCCCCCCCCCGTGCCCTCATTTACACCGATTGTCATGCAGATGAAGTATGGCCCTGTTTTTAAGGATATTCCGCCGGCCCCCCCGACACCCCCCTGACCCGACACCATTCATGTTATTTGGGCAACTTTTTTGCAGGCGTTGATCCGCTGGGCTCGCACGGATCTACGACAACATGTGGCACGGAGGTTTCGCCTTTTGGTGTCACTCGGCTACCCGAATCAAATCTTTTAATTTTAATGTGCGCTATTTGCAGTCTGGTTCGGTCCCCGTGTCTTTAGGGGGCGTGGCCTAGTGCCTAATTACTGGGTGGATTTCAGATGCCAGCTTTCAACACATAAAGTGTGAGTGCTAAATTTCACAACGCCGCCCCGGAATTGTTCAAATTTTAAAAAAATAATTCTCAACCATCATGCTTCTGTACATTTGTGGTCTAAATGGAAATGTGGTCATACAAAAAAACGTTATGTGCTGTCAAAGGGAGCATCAACAACAACAACAACAAAAAAAAGAAATAAAATAGCCAGTTTCACTATTCTTTCTACTCTTGTTTTTTTAAAAATGCAATTTTAATGCTGCGGGTCACACAAGACGGCGAGCATTACGTTAATTTTACAAATTGATTTGAATATGTCAGGAACAGATCGTCTTTCGTTCTGCTTTACGAAGACCAAATGTCATGTGATTTTTTTTTTTTCCCTGCCGATTTTCTTTTGGATTTATAACCTTTGACTTAGATGACTTTTAGTTTTCATCCCTTTTTACATGACAAACAGGCATACTCGTAACTGATGAATTTTGGAATTTTTTGGCATGCAAGTTAGACCTCGCATGAGTTCATTCAAGTACCACTGCATGTTTGTGTTGTGACTCTTTGATTGCTTACATAATATTAAGCTTCTTTGCAAGTTTACAGTGGCCGTGCTTAATCTTGGTTTTTTTTTTGTTTTTTTGCCCAAAAGATTAAACCGCAAGGCTAAACCAATTTGAACATTAACCTGATGTTCACCTCGCAACTTTTCGCCACTATTGAGCAAATGTGCATCCGCCATGTTATTGGTTGCCTTATTTATCTTATTTGTTTTGGGTACTAAAATGCCAAACACCTATTTCATGTTTATGCCTTGTAAATGTCGTGTCCTTTGGTTGCCTTATTTATCTTATTTGTTTTGAGTACTAAAATGCCAAAGCCTATTTCATGTTTATGCCTTGTAAATGTCGTGTCCAGAAACCTTTCCGTCTTCAATAAAACCTCTAATGAGGTGTTTTTCTTTGCCTTTGGTGTCTTGCAGGAACAAAAACTCCTGACTTTTCTTGACCAGAGGCCCACCAGCGCCCTCTAAAAACTAAGGCAACCTGAGTGCCGGTGGATAACCCCGATCCGAAGCGCAGCTTAGCGAATTAGACCAGACCGTGGAGACTACAGCTTCCATCCAGACAGCAAACCAAAGCGGGGCATTTCTGCACTTTTTTCTTATCCTCTTTGGTGTCAAACGGCTGCCGCTGTTTCAATTTCCGCCAAGAAGTTTTGATTTTCACGTCATCTGTCAAAATGGGGCCTGGAATGGAAGCGGCCGACATCGCGGTGGTCGCGCTGTACTTCGTCCTCGTGCTTGTCATCGGGTTTTTCGCCATGTGGAAAGCCAACCGCAGCACCGTGAGCGGCTACTTTCTGGCCGGACGCTCCATGACGTGGATAGTGATCGGCGCCTCGCTCTTCGTGAGTAATATCGGCAGCGAACATTTCATCGGACTGGCCGGCTCGGGAGCGGCGGGTGGCTTTGCGGTGGGAGCCTGGGAATTCAACGCCCTTCTGCTTCTGCAGCTGCTCGGCTGGGTGTTCATTCCTGTGTACATCCACTCGGGAGTGTTCACCATGCCCGAATACCTGTCCAAACGTTACGGCGGCAATCGACTCAAGGTCTATTTTGCTTCCCTGTCGGTTCTCCTCTACATTTTCACCAAGCTGTCGGTAGACTTGTACGCCGGCGCGCTCTTCATCCAGGAGTCCCTCGGGTGGAATCTTTACCTGTCTATAGTCCTGCTCATTAGCATGACCGCGCTTCTCACTGTCACCGGCGGGCTGGTGGCTGTTTTGTACACAGATGCTCTTCAGGCCGTGTTGATGATCGGCGGAGCTTTAACATTAACCATCATCAGCCTCGTTAAAGTGGGTGGGCTCGAAGGCGTCAGATCGAAGTATATGGAAGCCGTCCCCAATGTTACCGCCATCTTGGCCACTGGGAACTATTCCTATTCTCCCTCCTGCCGGATCCATCCCAAACCCAACTCCCTTCGCATTCTCCACGGCCCCTTGGATGAAGACATTCCATGGCCGGGCTTCATTCTCGGCCAAACCACCGCCTCCATTTGGTACTGGTGTGCTGACCAGGTCATAGTTCAGCGAGTGCTTGCAGCAAAGAACATTGCTCACGCTAAGTGCTCGACGCTCATGGCGGGCATCCTGAAGATCCTTCCCATGTTTGTCATTGTCATCCCGGGCATGATCTCCCGCATCCTGTTCGCAGACGAGATCGCCTGCATCGGGCCCGAGCACTGCATGGCGGTGTGCGGCTCTCAGGCGGGCTGCTCCAACATCGCGTACCCCCGCCTGGTCATGGCCGTGATGCCCGTGGGACTCCGCGGCCTGATGATGGCGGTCATGATCGCCGCCCTGATGAGTGATCTCGACTCGATCTTCAATAGCGCGAGCACCATCTTCACCCTGGACATCTACCAAACGGCTCGAAAGAAGGCGTCCCAGCGCGAGCTGCTCATCGTGGGTCGCCTTTTTGTGGTGGTCATGGTGGTCATCAGTATCGCCTGGGTTCCCGTCATCATCGAGATGCAAGGCGGCCAGACCTACCTTTACATCCAGGAGGTGGCCGGCTACCTCACCCCGCCCATCGCCGCCCTCTTCCTGCTTGGCGTGTTCTGGAAGCGGTGCAATGAAAAAGGGGCATTCTGGGGAGGCATGACCGGTTTCATTCTGGGTACCATCCGACTCATCCTGGCTTTTATGTACCGCCAGCCTCGCTGCGACCAACCAGACACCCGACCTGCTTTCATCGTTCACGTCCACTACATGTATGTGGCAGCCGGTCTGTTCTGGATCTCGGGTTTTGTGGCTGTGGTGGTCAGTCTTCTCACATCTCCGCCGGATGAGGAGCAGATTCGCACCACAACGGTGTGGGGACTCCGTCACGTCGAAAAGTTGCCCGAGAGCAAAAAGGACAGAGAGCAAATGTACGGGCTGACTGAGAAGAGCCACTGCAATGGCGACGCGAGCTTGCACAAAGGTTTGCCCCCGGATGTCAGAAAGGAAAGGTGTCTGGACGGCGCCGATATCAAACTCCTGGTCCCGTTCACCGATCACGACCCGGCCACTCCCAGCGCAGAGCCGTCGCCCGCCACCACCCCCGCCGACAGGTTTGGAAAACTGGATGAGGGAGAACGCCACGAGGCCAGCCGCTGTATTCGCGTCCTGGACTGGTTTTGCGGCTTTAAGGAGCCATCGCAGGACGCTCAGCCAAAAACGCCCCAGGACAACGCCAGGGTGATTGCGGAAATGCTGCACGAGCCCCCGCGAGTCAAACTTCTCCTCAATATTGGCCTGTTTTGCGTCTGCTCCGTCGGCATCTTCATGTTTGTCTTTTTCTCGCTGTAGTCACTCCTTGCAATCGACTAACTGGTAATGACTGGTTGGGGGAGAAGGCCGGGGGGGGGGCTTTTACCGAGGTGAACTTCGTTGTCGCGGGGGACCTGTTACACACAGATGAATTTATAAAGCTTTGAAAAGCTCGGTCTGTAATATTTACAGTTGTCTTTTGTAGCTCTCTAACAGGGATCTAAGCTTGTTCTAATCATTTTTTTTGGAATGATCAAAGCTTCCCCACCAACACAAATGTACTCCTTTTCAAGACTTTTTGAAGCTTATCTGGGCACTTGGCTGTCCATTTTGTACAGCGTTTGATGTTAATCTTGCACTCTGTATATCTACATCTTGAGGATCGTTTTACTCCAAGTGAATTTTAATATTGGCCTTATTTGACATATGCACTCTTGTTTTTGTTTTTTTTTGTGAAAAGTTCTGTGATTTATTTCTTGTTGACTGTGACTGTAAACTGAGTTGCTACTGGAGCATTCATGTGTTAAGAGTTTATTTAAGATTGTAGACCATAAACGTTGTGTTCTGAAGCTCATGCTGCTTTGGTTTTTAATTTAGAGGTGTGTCTGTTAATCTTTCTTTTGACCTGGACATTACAATTAGCATACCTCATGAAGTAAATCCAAACCAAGCCTCCCTTCTGTATGAGGGACCATTATGACCCCCCCCCCCCACCCATCTAATCCGATCAAGATTTGCCTTTCTACGGGTGTACACTTATAATTATCAAACACTTGGGATGACATCCCATATTAAAATAGAAAGAAAAAAAAGCACAAAATTGAGATTGTTTCGTATGGTACTTACCCGTGTGTGTCGTTCAAAATGTGTTATTAGCAGTTGTTTTTGATGTTAATTTTGAAAACCAACAACAACAAAAAAAGTTTTTATGTACTACTATAGCATAACAACAACAAAAAAAGTACTCGTGATTCTGTATCCATCTATATTTTAAGCGTATCTTATGTTAAGTTCAAAAAGTGTGTTAAGTCTGTTGCGTTTTATTAAAATATTTTATTTTATTTTGGTTTCTTTCAAATATCATTCTCAAGTATATCTACTGTGGCGGCGTGTACGCAATACACTAAGTGTATACATTTGTTTTGCAAGTGCAACTTTTGTACAAGTTTTTACCAAATGTGTCTTAGTGTGAGTTTCTAGAAGGGGTGCTGGGGGTGTGGGGGGGGGTCATGGAGAGTCAAATAATAGACAAACAATGTTTTATACTCAAACTTGTGTGCTGTGTCATTAAAGCCATCTGATAAATCAGCTTTGTTGTGTCGTAGCTTTTCAGTTAGCTGTATCTTAATAACAGACAGTCACTGTTGGATTGGGTTTCGTTGAACAAGTTTCATTGTCTGTAGATAATCAAAAAAAAAAAAAATATATATATATATATAGATAGATATCTGTCTATATATATATATATATATATATCCTTATTTAAATTGTGTTAAGTGTGACAGCACAACTGTTTATTAATGTCAGCCATAAATGATGAAAGATTTATTGTGACTGTTATAGTGATGATCACTGGGAAAGAGCTTTAAACCTTTTTTTATTTTTTTTTTGGTGACAGATACATGTTATTTTTATGGAGTTTGATGAGATTTTGAATAAAGAATTTTGTGAAAATAAAAAAACAAACATGATTGTTGTTATTAATGAGTAATTGTTACAAATATGGTAGACTGTGTAATTGAACAATTAATCACATTCAAAGCAACTGAGAGGTATGAACCGTGAGAGATTCTACCGATGGTCAATTTTATCAGCCCCAAAACAGTCCTTCTCTATCTTTTTATACAGTGCTGTCTTAAAAATTGTGAAATTCAGTTGAAGCGATCATCAAAAGTGAGCTATATTTTATTCAGAAAAAATTTAGTTAACGTTATTGTGAACCCCCGTAACATTTGTAGTTTGTACATTAACTGTTTAAAAATGACGTCATTGAAAAATTATTCAGTTTAACTGTTTTGTAGCCAAGTACAATCTAAATGATCAAAACACATTTGAAAACAAACAGTTCTTGAAGAATAAACGCACCAAAAAGTTAAATACAACTGAACTCTACTTAGCGTTACGCCAAGCAACTTTGGAGAATCACTGCAGGAAGATCAAGGAAAAATACAGTTAAAACTACGCGTGGAAGTCCATCAATCCATTTTCTACACCACTTGTCCTGTTCAAGGTATCGGGGAAATGGAGCCTATTCTCGCTAAAATGACATTAGACAAAAGTCAGATCGGTCGCCCGTAAATCACCGAGCACATATAAAGACAACCAACCCCGGCTGAAGCCGCTTTATGGATCATGTGGTCAGAAAAGCGGCAAGTCATGAGACGTCACTCTAAGCAACTGTTTGAAGATCTCCTCAAGCAATTTTGAATTCAAACCAGATGAGACGCCTTCCGCCAGAGGGAAATAACTCATTTCGTTGCCATGTCCGACATTCAGTGATATATTTAGTTGTTGCGTTTCTGTAGTGCTTGACAAGGATTACATAAGGTCTCGGTTAGGTTTTATTAATCTTTACAGATGCAGAAGACGATTGGCTGATTGCGCCCTTTACGCGTGCAACCAACCGAGAAGCTTGAAGTTCATGACCGCACTTGATCTCTTCAAGACGATGCACTTCTGTGGTTTTATATTTGATACCTTGAATTTCTTGTCTTTAGTCATACCTTTTAAGACCTTTTAAAAAGTCACGTGATCTGTATTGGCATTTAGATGGTGACTTGTTACACTGTCCGGTGACTTACGGCAGGCAACAAGATAATGTAATGTAGCCTGTGCTTAACCAGAAACGCAAGCAAAACGTAAAGAATGTCATGTTTTTTGTTTTTATTATACTTTAGAGCCCCCAGTACCCCATCACACCCCCCCACCACCCTCTTTTCCTGAAAGCTTGAAGGCAAATAAGCAGCAGATGCAGATGATTTCAAACAACATTTTTTTTTCTCGAAACCCCCCACTTCCTCATTTCCAATCAGGAAGTGTGCAGTAGAGTTCATTCCGATTGTGACTGTGACCTCTATGGCACTGTGCAACATTCTTAAAATCATGGCCTTAACAACACCATGATGCATAGACATTGAGAGGTCATATTTTGTTTGTGCAAAATATGAGAAACTCCACTCAGTATGATTTAATGCAGTTGTACGTAGCTTTTAGCTATAACTATAATAATAAAGGTTACATTAATACCATAAGATGTGCGTTCATCAAAAGGGAGCGTTATCTTTTTCAATTCTGAATTCTTGACATTTGTATTGGATTTCAAGAGAGCAGGGGTCGCTAACGTGGTGCCTGCGGGCACCGGGTAGCCCCCATGAGCTTTTATAGGTCAACCATAACTAAAAAAAAAAAATGAAAAGGTCTCAAAAACCTTATGCACTTGGAAAAGGTGAAGCTATTTTAAATTTTGCGTCAAAAATACGGTTAGGGAGATATAAAGCCATCTCTAATTTGAGTGAGCAAATTTTATATTTTATATATATATATATATATATATATAACCTTTCTGGATGTCAGCCACTTTGTCAATTTGTTGGTGCCATGCAGGGGCTTGTCTTTCCATGGGAGTCCATCTAGCTCCTTCTCCTTATTGAGCTTCTGTTGGCTGGCGCATTCACAATGCCGGTCAGCCCCGGCCGGAGACCTTCATCTCGATTGGAGGCCTGTTGTTTCCTCCTGGATAATGCCCATGCTTTGCGTACATTCCCAGGATGTTGGACTCCATGCATTGTAAGGAGCTTTCTTATGAACATATCTTATTACAAATACACATGTTAAATATGGTGGTCTTTTTTTTTTTTTTTAATGCCTCCTTGCCTTGATCGTTTGTTCCCAACTTTTGTAACCTCTGACATAACTGCATAAAGGCAGAATTTGTTGCCCCATTTTATTGCCCCCCCCGACCCCCTGCCAGACATGACAGATTAATGACAGATAACAAAGCCTGGTGTTCCTGGACAGGCTGTCCAGTAATGAGACACATTCCCAATGGATAGGCGAGGTGTCACCACTAACAAATTCACAGACTGGGAGTGCAATTACAAATTATTTTCTGTGGATATTATACTTATTTTGTGGCCACAAATCAGCATTGTTTTACTTTTTTTTTTCCATGCCATGTCATGTCTGGGACAGTTTATCACTATACGTATATAAGTATGCAAGGTAAAATGTGTGGAAACAATAAACAATGACAGCTTGATGACCATGAACGTCTTCAACAATGCCCTATTGTAACGCAACATTTCTGTTTAACGTCCCTCAGGAAAACAGGGTGTGCTTGCATTCCCGCATGCAATATTAGATGTTGTTTTGACGGACTTTCATTTTGACTAAATTCACATCGTCACTCAGCGCAGCACCTCTCCTCCGGGTTTTGACCTCCGCCCTCCCTCTCTCCCTGCTTCTGTGTCTCTCTCAAGAGGAAACCCCATGATATTGTCCTGGTGGAAAACTACTGGCATTCAGGGCCAAGCTTTGTTCATTGTCTCGTGTTGGACGGGCGCAAAAACACGGCGCGTCTTCTGTAACGAATGCGATTTTATTAGTCAGGGCTTGTTATCAAGCAGTATAAACTTGGGAAGTAACACGAATAAAAGCAAAAACACACAACAATAAAAAATGAGTGTGGAGATTATTATCGTCCTTCAAAGTCAACTCAAGGCAACCCGTTTCCTCGCCTAAAGGCCCACTGAATGGGAATTTATCATCACAGGGGTGGTGATCTTTCTTTTTAAAAACTTGTGGATACGGCTTCTTGTCAAGCCGCATAATTGAACGATTTATATAGCTAGATGATTTAGATTGGGTTACCGTTTGGGTTCAGGAATGTCATTTCTCATGAGAAAAGGAAGACGCACGGTCAACGTTTCACGGCTTCTCAATCAGGTTATGGTCTTATCGAGTAATCTGGTGGGGAAGTCTTTGTAGGTGTTAGGTTACCAAGCAACAACTCTGGATCCTCTCGGGAACGATGTGGTCCCCTAAGGTCGATGAGTTACTGTGCACCGTCTCTTCTGTGTATTCTGGGTTAGCAGTAACAATCATCCATCCAATGTTGAAGGTGCTTGTCCTCATTAGGGTCACAGGTTATTGGGTGAGAGGTGGGGAACACCCTGGACCAATTGCCAGCCAATCGCAGGACGCATACAGTATAGTACAGTCAGAAAAATTTGCAAATACACTCCAATTCTGTATTTTTGTTTCATGATTTAAGAATTTCCTCAAGTGTAGATTAACACTTAAGCCATCGACATTTTGAAAAATAAATGATAAAATTATTTGGTTCCCCCCGCCCCCCAAAAAAAGGTTGATCAAATTAGAATGTGCATTGTAGTTTAGATTCTTCAAACGATGCACCTTTTGTCCAGATAACACCTTAACTCGTCTTGCGACACTATTTCCTCAATCAGATTTGTACGCTTGACAAGTATGATGGATATCAAATCCAATTCAGAATAATCCTGGCATTCATGGACTTGTTACTGCATCATTTTTAGAAAAAGAAAGTATCAGATGGGTGGGGGGGGAGGTTGATAATTTTCAAAATCATTGATTTGTAACAGGGATTGAAAAGAAGCAGTCTAATTAGTCACGTCGTCACATGGTAGTGTGAAGTGGGGTTAGGGGGTGACTCTTTTGTATTGTCCTCAAGCTTCTCCCGGAACTTGGATGTCAGTCAAGAGTGTGACAACGAGACGACATCATTCTTCTTTCATAAACACCGAGAAAAAAAAACCCCAACTCCGAACAAAGTGCGGTGAAATTCCTGATATTGTGTCCATAAATCAATTTAATAGCCCCTTGATAGCACAAAGAAACGTGCTAATATGAAGTAAGCAGGAAATCTAATCTCAGGGGGATGCTGCTTAATGCATTTGAATCACTAGCACACTTCCTTTCGTTATTTAAGATAACAGTCAGGCAGAGTTGTTGATGAATTTCTGATGAAGCATTTTGTTGATGCGGGAAAAGTAGTTCAAAAATGATGTTAACAATGTCGTTAGTTACAGTGTACGCCGAGCAAAACAAGTCTTTATCTCGAGCACATGGGGACTATGAACTCATAACTTGAGAATGTAGGTGAAGGTGAATGGAAAACTTAAAGACATGTGAGCGAGGCCTCGGGTGACAACAAAGTCTGTTTATGTTTCATCCGTCCGATATTTGGACCCTTATCTTATCATTCTCCTTTGTCTTGACCCATCAAATTGGCCCTGAGGTTCTGAATGATGAGCTTGGCAAGGCATCGT